GCAGTATTTTTTGTCACCCCTTCCAATTAATGTGCAAGAACAACCCACCAATTCTCTTTAATTTGCTTCCTAATTTACTGTAAAGAGAGAAATTCTATCACTTTACTAGAGAGAGGGGACAAGATAAAAAAACAGAAGAGAGAACACTCTGACATATTCCCTTGCTAACAGGTTAAGTAGAAATCTGGTTATGTGGCAGATTATAGGAGAATTAAAGGCAGATTTGTACACATAAGTAAAGCTGCCATACCCTCCAGTCTTTGTACTGCTGGATTGATGTTTGGGCATAAATGATCACAGTTTAGGAAGTGACTGATGAGTGAGACTCATAATTTAATGGATGTTGCTTCTGTTTGAGTGAAAGAAAAATCGTACCTCAGGACAACTTGATTCAGCTGCTGCTGCTTTTGACTAACCAGCTCTGGGGTGAAAGGAGAATGAACCGTCATAGTTGGCTTGGGGTGGGTGCAAACATTTGTTTTACCACTATTCTCATTTTTGTACAGTAAGTGAAATAAATGTAGTGGCAAATAACATGTTTTTTCCCAAATAATTCCATGTCTACTATATTGTACAGAAAATGTACAATATAGTTATATTGTGCAGACAATATTATCAAGGTATCCTCTTCATAAGCAGAACTGTGGCAATAGTACAGTATAGCTAGAATAAGAATTTTTACAAAGGATCTGCGTGTAAAGAAATAATCTGCTTTATGTAGCTAAGTAGCTCCTCTAGCATACTGACATCCCAGCCTCTAACCAGTGTATTTAGTTCTCATATTCAAACATGGAGTTTTTTATCTCTATTCAGGGCTTTGCAAAGTAGTATTGCAGTAGAGCCATACTGACACCAGGAGGTTATCAACATTACTGGTCAAAGGTGGATGAACGGAGAAGTGTTAAAACATCTCAGAAAAGCTTTTTTAAAGTTCAGTCAGTAAACAAAAATAAACGTACACCCCACCACCCCCCCATCCCCTCCCATCCCCTCCCGTCCCCAGAATGTCCACTTTCATTGCAAGTATTTTTTTTTTCTGATGTTCTATTTTTAGGATAGATACCCTCTTGTTCTTGAGAATTTCAGGCTTACACAATCATGAGAATGAGGACTTTCCTTTGATAGTCACAATAAAGTGCAAAGCTATTAGCACAAAAATCTTTGCAGGAATAAATTTGAGGATCCAGTCAAACAAAGGAAAGATGCATGTCTGAAATTCCAAATAATAAAATATTACAGAGAGATGATTCTCCTCACTTCCAGTGTTTTTCTTTGTCAATTTATCAAGATTGGCTGCAACTGGCTAACTTTTAGCACATCTGTTGGGCCATTGTTTTGGTTGCTCCCTCTTGCAAAAGCAGGAGAGATCAGTTTGAAGCTATTATGAAATTTGAGTTCTGTATCACTACAAACCAATTTTGGAAAAGATGATTGCAGAGCACATGCCTCTGTGGAGTACACTACCCAAAGTAAGCCCAGTAGAAAATACATGGCATTTGTAGAGGCAACTAGACAACTCTTCAGACCCCTTGAAGACTGAAGCAGCAACCATCAGTCAAGGGAACAAGAATAGAAAATGAAGTGTACACGTTTATGAGATAGATAGATAGAGACCTTTGGAACTTAAGGGAAAGTTTATGCTTTCTCTTAAATTTAGGCCTGAACACAACCAAAATATCAGAAAATCATCCTGGATTCCTTTGTTTAGAATCATAAATGTGAGGCTATGGTATTTTCTTTAATATCAAGTCCATCTAACTGTGTCATGATCAGTGATAATCTGGGCAGTGATTCTTAGTGCTTAAGTAGCAGGGAAGATGAAAATATGAATTTCAGGTCACGAAGTTCTATCTCAGCTAACCAGCTTAGCAAGATATATCAAAAAATATGTATTAGTATTACAGCTGTTGGTGGCTAGAGTTACCAGACTTAGTGATAAGGCCAAATGTTGGTGTGATGCACCAAGTCCGACCCTAAGTTGATTAATATGTGATACAGGGCTTAGAGTATTTTCTCCATAACGACTTGTGTCTTTGAATACTGTTCTGTATTTGTATGATACCTTCTTTGGTGTTGCTCACTGCAAAGCATTGTTAGGCATTATGACCCCATTCTTTTGGACAGGTAAATTGAAATGGCTCTGTCACCTGGAGTTATATTAAGGAATACAAGTGAATGTCAAGTAGCTTTGTTAGTTTCTGTAGGGAATGAATATGAAATATTAGTACTTGTCAAAGACATGACAGAGAAGGGCCAGACAATATCTAAACTCTGATTTCACTGAAATGTGGTACGTTTTTGGAGGGGTTACCTGCGCTGATGTGCAGACTGTGCAATTATGAGGCCCTAATAATTGCATATTAATAAATAAATCACAGCATTATTTCGGAGCATTTGTGCTTCATAACAATTTCACCCAGAGATTTAATTTGAAGCACTAGCCTGAACCCTTCCACTACATTGCCACTAGGTGGGGAGGTCGGCTAACAGTTTGGAAAAATCTGTGCCTTTCCCTACCTGGGGAGTTACAGCATCCATGTCCCGGGGCCGGCTAGCGGGAAAGGGATCCCGCGAGCCTGGGACTGGTTCTCCCACAAATTTAAGCACAGGAACCCAGTGTGAACCTGCTGCTTGAGTGGGCTGAAGCTGCACAGAGTTACTCCAGCTTCAAGGTAGTTCTGCCCTTTTTCCCGATGAGCTGTGAGATTTTAAACTCCATGCATGAAATTAATCACAATTTAGATTCTACTAAAAAAAAAATGAAAAGGCAATTTAAAGTAAGAATACTTTTCTCTTCCAGTGAAATCTCTCTTACATTTAAAATCTCTACTGCATGATTCCTCTCCATAGTTTCTCTCATTAAAAAAATTACCTATAACAAGTAGAAGAGTGGGATAATTCTGCACACAAAACTAAATACTAGTTGCCTTGTCTAAAATGTCTGATCTTTATAATTTTTAGAGATAACCAAACCTTTAATGATTCCCTTCATCCATGCTCACTTCATCCATCCTTTCTCTTTTATTTATTAAAAAATCATTTAGACACCACATTTCCATTTCACATTCCCAATAATGATCCCCTATACTTAATGAAAAAAATATTTATTTTCATTTTAAATGATAACTATAATTAGTATCTAAACTACAGTTAGAAAAACATAACACTGTTTAACAGGAAAAATTGTGAAAATTCAAGTTTGATTTTTCAAGTGAGCTGGAATGTCATAAATGTTGGCTAGTAGCAGAAATATCTATAGACTGGGTAAACAGTGGCATAAAATATAAAATGAAGGGGTTTTTTTCCGCCTAAAAGATTAAGCCTATAAAACATAAGAACCTAGCAAATAAAACAACAATAAAGCAAAGCATCTGTATTTTGAGAATACATTGTTTTTAAATATTTCCTTCTAAGTTATAGTTTGCTGAACTTATTTGTCAAACTCACAGGACAAAATCCTAACTGCAAACTTTAATTTCCTCTCCCGTCTTACTTAATTCATTCCATAATCTATATGGGTAGTACTTTTCTCTGTTCATGTGAAAAAGCTACAACTTGTTTTCAAAGCCAGACTGCAGTTCTGTGTCAGAGAACAGAAGAGTGGCATCTCATGTACAAAGTGCTGTGAGAATCAGGGGAAGAGGTGTGTGAATGTGGGTGCTTTTGTTTACTTGTTCAGCCTGTGTTTTATAGATGTTAAAAGTGAATCAAAAATTTAAAAACCCACCATTGTTGGATTTTGGAGTTTTTAATTGGCCAAAAAATCATCATCAATAAACAGGGATTTACATATTAAAATGCAGTAATTTTCAAATTCATTACATAATATACTCTCTGACTAGATATAAAACTGACTGAAAAGAACCAACAAATATCAGAGAAAGAGGCAAAACCAAATTCAAAACATGTAAACTATTGGGGGGAAAGGGAAAGCATGAGCTGGGAAAAGCACTATGTGTTATGATCTGGTTGACAAGGTGGTTATTGGTCAACAGTTGGACTTGACACTGTGGGAGGTCTTTTCCAACCTAAATGATTCTGTGATTCTGTGATCTCTAGTAAGAAGGAAATGAACTATGGTCAAGCTCATATTATATAAATACATGGTGTTGATTTTAATTTTTAATTTATGTTTTTAATTTTTGAAGTTGTTGTCTATCAAAACCACAGAGACAAAAATACATTTCACTGCTGCTGCTGTTAGCTTAAAAAAGAAATGCAGCAGAGGTTTTCTGGTCTACTGCTGTGGGAGACAGCTGTAAGGGCTGCCAAACTTTGCTGTATGGAAAGCTGTCTAGCCCTGACTGAAATTCAACCATAGTGATTTTTGTATTTGAGATAAAATTTGGATAAAAATCAGACAAAATACCACTGCCTTTCCATGTGTCAGGCATCTCTTCTCAAAACCAATCTTCCGATCTAATGCTGCTTCCCAAATTTATCTGGGCATAACTAAGTGAAATGATCTTAAATCTGAGTGACAGTTGTGTGTTATGATGAAAAGACACTCATATATCTTACAGATGACCACTTGTTTGCATTGGAGTCTGTACAGTTTATAAGTGTAAAGAAATTTTTCTAAAGTGTTTCCTCAATTTTTCCATTGTACATAACTTTCAGGAAAACCACATATTGTTGATGGCAGATTGGAAATGGAATTATTGACTTGCATTTCTGTGCTGAAAGCAAATGAGCAGACAAAATACTCCCCATAGTTCTGAACCCATATTGATAAGTTATTCTAAAATGTGGAGAATTGAGAGAATGTAACTGTAAATTTTCAGGTTTTGGAAGGGAGGGGTAAAATGTTATATCCACTGTATTTCCTTAGTCTATTTTTTTCTTGTCTTACATGACTTTAACACTGTGTTATACAGATTTCTTAGGTCCAAATGAAAGAAACATCCTTTTGCCTGTCTTCCTTTGAATCAACTGAGCTATATATTCAGGATTTAGATCTCCAGCATTTCTGTAGTATCGTACTGGAGATCATATCCTTGCTCCCAAGAACATTTGCAGCCACTGGGTGGAGAACTTGTCTAACAAAATATCTCATTATGACAGAGTGAAAATCAATCCAACTTTACTTTGCTGGCTGGGCAAATTTGTCTAATACAGGTCATATATTAGGCTCTTCTTTTTCAGTGGTCAACGTGGTTCAATTTCCAGCTAGGACATAATTTGCACAATAACCTGAAGTTGAAATTAATACTCAGAAACAAGCTGTACTGGGCTGAAGAAAAATCCATTAAGCTGTCTGCATTAGAGGAAGAAGCTGACCAATGGAGTTAAAGCACATTTGTTATACTGTAAGAAGAAAGTTTCAGACAAATATCACAGGAACCAGGATGACACTCCAATAAGGTAACTTTAGGTTTAATCTCAACTGCAAATAAGAATATTATTACAATGATTTATTTCTAGTACTGTCTTGTCTAAAGGAATCAGATGAGATCAGAGCCCCACTGTGCTAAACATTCTTCTCTTGTCTCCATCAGAAGACAGTACCTTCCCAGTGGAGTTTGTGTTTAAGTAGATAAAAGTAAGCATTATTTGGAAGGCCAAAGAAAAAAGCAGAGTGGTCCAAAATCACAGAGCTGGTAAGGGACAAAGCTGAGGACAGAATCCAGGATTCTGAGCTTTGGTCTTATCTTCTTTATAGAATCATAGAATGGTTTGGTTTGGAAGTGATCCTAAACATCATCTAGTTCCCCATGCCCCTGCCATGAGCAGGGTCAAGTTTCACTAAACCAGGTTGCTCAAAGCCCCATCCTGCCTGGCCTGGAACAGTTCACAACTCTGAGCAACCTGTTTCAGTGCCTCACCACCCTCTTAGTGAAGAGTTTATCAAATCTAAGCCACTCTCTCTGTGTTTGAAGCCATTCCCCCTTGTCCTATGTGGCCTTGTATTCTTGTTGCTCCCAGCCTCCATGGCACTATGACTTTGCAGTATTATTATGTTAAATAAATATCAAAACACAGCATGTAGTTTTTTTAATATCTGATACAATACGGAAGTTCTGTGATACAGGGAGATCTGTGGGCTTCTGGTGGACCCTGTTAAGAACTAGATAACTTGAAAATTATTGCTTTTAAAATAGGTGAAGTGGAGCTCTCTGGATTTTACTTAAAATCATCTCCTGTATATTTCTATCACAAAAATATTTGTCACAAAAAAACCCCATATCATTGAATAGACTAAATTATTAATAATATTTGGATATTGCTATTGATATACTTTGATTTAGAAAGATGGAAATTATTCTGGGATAGATTGTGCCAGTTTCACTCCCATTTAACAGTAAATTCTGTTGAAAATCATCTCAGGGGTAAACACAAGCAAAATACTATAGAAAAAATTGTGGTCCTGGTAATAGTAGTGGCAAAAAACTTTTAATGCAGTTTGAAGAGCAGCAAATTTCATTATTCATTATGAATAATGTGAACTGGCTTCATATGGGTGCCTAAGCAATATCTCTTGACATCCTCGTATATGTGTGCGCTCCAAAAACAGCGTTACCCAATTAACCCTTTACTTGCTATCCATCTTGCTGGACACAGTTCCTGTTCCTAATGATTATTCAAACAATGAGTTTGTGTAAGTAGCAAATAGACTGAATATTCAAACTATTTTGTGTCTGAATAAACCAACAAAAAGCCCTAATTGGCTCAGATCAAATAAAGGCATCTCTGTTTTTGCTCATTCAAACCAGAAACAAAATTATTTCATGTTGTGCTAACCATGGTATTTATATTAGGATAACTGAAGAGAAAAACATAGTTACAGCTATGATGTATTATTGGTGGTAATAATGTTGCCCTTTTACCTAACAGTCCAGGGAGATTAAACTAATTTTCCCAGAAGCTTGAAACCCAAATTTTCCTTTTTTTCTGAGAGAAGAATCCTGTGTTGATGTGCTGTATTCCTCCATTTAAGATGGCATTCTCTCATATGAATGGTGCTGAAGTTCCCAAACAGATATTTAAATATTCTTTGTTCCTAGTATAAATTATACATATTTAATATCCAGTGGCCAGAATAATGATCTGAGCCTCGGGAGAGCTGTTGTCCTTTCACTGCCCTAGGAATTAGAATAGCTCAGGAAAACTCCTGATAGGGCATTTAGAGCTCTCTCTTCCACCAAGTGGATTTAAATTTGGAGTTTCCCCAAGAAACTGGGGTCTGCTGAAAACTGTTAGCAGATGAGGGGTGTCTTAGCGAATGAAGATAGAAGTAAGTCTCTTCCCACTGTCATCCCAATATATTCCCTAGGAGTTTATCTTATGCAATTACAGAGATATTCTGTCTCCTAAAAATGGATAAAAAGTTGTCATAAACTTTCATTACAGAATTAAAGAGAATAGGTCTGGATTCAGCTGTAGCTGTGCGGCTAAGACTCGTGAATTTAAGTATTCTACCACATCCTTTTAACCTTACTAACAGAACAAAAGTTGATATACCCATGTTTTCCTTGCTGAACTTCAGTTAGCATATCCTGCCTTTCATGCACAAAGACCTTTATTTTAAGTTTCCTGACTTAAACAAGTAAGGAGTCAGTGGAAGCAGGGAGGGAGGATGCAGGGAGAACTTTCCCTTTTGGTCCCCCAAAATAAATTTTGGAGAAATTTACCTTTTTCTGTGGAAAGAAAAGCTTAGTGTTCCAAGCTGGTCAGTAAGAAGGCTGCCCATATTTGCAAGCACTCTAACCTCACTTAGGTGCTGAACCAAAGCTAATGACAGGAGGCCTGTGTCCCCTTTGAAATCTGTATACTGTTACTAGCTCCACTGTGGAATTAATATTTTTCCAGCTTGTATATTGGACTGCACAGAAGAAAGAAATGTAATCACCTCCTGGCTTTCTGTGCATGTTCAAACACGTTCCCCCTTTCCCTCCCCGATATATAGTCATCACAGTGTAAACATTCTGCTAAATATTTCCTCCACCTGCTTCAAACAATTAAGGAATCATCTCTTAACAGGAAAAATAAATGTACCAAATGTCACAATGCCTCAGGGGGATCGAAAATGATAAAACAAATGTTGTAACATTCTATTTTTGATCCAAAGGTAAACAAAAGAAATTATGTGTGCACGTGTGTATACACACAGATTCATTCTATTGGTCATGTAATCCATCACTGAGGCTGTTGGTTAAGGGATAAATTACAGTTCCAACATATTTTCCAAACATTTAAACCTTTCTCATAAAATTATTTTGGGCTGAAAAATATCTCCTGCTCATTCTCAAGCCAGGTCTCGGAAGTGAATTTTCTTGGAAGGGTTCATAAAAAAATATGTTCAGTGGTTTTATTTTCGCATAATAACTTTGAAATACGTTAGTTGATATTTTCCAGATGCACTTTTGTGCTCAGGAGCTCAAAAGAAGCCCTTATTCAGGAGACAGAATAAATGACAAAAAAAAAAGACGAGAAATTTTTACCTTTAACCCTTCTCATTGTTATACAAGAAAAACAATTTTGCTCTAAGAGAAATACTCTAATATTTTTTGAAGCATAAATCTGCTAGTTCTTATTGTCTCTTTTTGTTAGGGCTTAATTCTGCAAGAAAGTGTGGATCAGCTCTTTCTAGTAAAGAATATACTTTCTTCCCCAGGAAATTAGGTCTAGACTAACTAGGCCTTTCACTGGTGCAAAGCATAGGAGGTGGTTCAAAGAGGAAAGGAAAGAAATGCCTCACTGTTTTCCCTTCAGAGCTTTCAGGAAGTGATCTTTTGAATTAGAGATAAAACAGGAGATTTGCAGAGAGCTCAAGTTATGGATCGTGTGTGTGGATAGCTAAGAAATTCAGATTGCTATTTAGAGATTTAGAAATCTCCTGGAGGCTAAAAAAAAGAGGAATAGCTTTCAGCAATTTTCAGAACCTTATGCACAAAGGATATTTGTTACCATATTTTCTCATAATCAACCTGCTCACTTATTGCTTTGTGGTATTACACCCTTAGCTATTTAGAAGGGAGCCTGTGTATGTTCTCACTGCTTACCTTGGTGCCTACTTTTGTGTCCAGGCTTCACACTGTCAGCTAGCCCTGGGATAGAAAGAAATAATCCATAACAATCCATAAACTCTGTGTGGATATCTCAAACTAGTTTCAGCATGAAATAACTGACAAATCATTTGACTTGGAGGCTTCAGTTAATTTCTAGATCCATTGTGATTTTGTCAGGCAGATTAGGATACAATTGAATTAGCTTCACAAGGGTTAATGCAAGCACTTGAAACATTTTTTGGAAAATTGACCTGCCCCAACCTCCATAATGCTGTAGCTACACTGCTGCTCATGGTCCTAATGTGATAGAAAGAGCGCCCTAGACATGTACTGCCTGCTTCTAAAATAAGTGTAAGAGGAATAGCAGGGATTTTGTGAAGATAAATATATGAATGATTATAAGATCCACAGTTATGCTGAGCCATAAGTCTGCCTAGACAGTATAGGAGTTGCAGTCCTGCAGAGGAAGAGTGTACAATATTGTTTATGCAGTGGCCTTCCTTTTTGGTGCTGCTCCTGGCTAATAGCATTTAGCTGCTGACATTTGAATCAATAACTAGTTATCCCTTTTCAGAAAGGAGATCATTCGATAATGGAAATGACAATGAAAGCAAACGTGGACTCATCAAATGTAAAATGAAAGCATTGTTTTCAGTGGCCTCAGCAGAGTCTTCAGTTTCTACTTCCAAAGTTTCTGCTCCTGTTCTCAAAAGACAGTAAGCCTTTTCCTGGGTGCTCTGCTTAAACACTGACAGGACTTTTCAGATGCTAGACTTGATTGTTTTATCTTCTCAGAGGACATTATCAATCTGTCTTCTTTTCATGAAGAAGATAAATTAATTAAAACTTGATAACATGTAGACTTCTCTACCAAAGAGCATGTTGCTGATGCCATATGCTGGACTCTGACATTTAATGATTTTGAATCTGTACATTTAAGAATGAGATCAAAAAAAAGGGAAAAATTAGTACTGGATTTAAAAGTGTCCGGTCAAAAGTTCATGCACCCCCAGCTTTGTTTAGTAATCTCCCATTGAAATCAGTGAAAGTCTCCCTCTGGCTACATGGAACTTGTTCAAAGTCCATATGAATCACATAGTCATTTCTGCATTTGCTGTTTGAGTTAAACCTAAGGCCATAGTAATTTCCAAAAAGGCAGAAAGGAACTGTTGACAATAGAAAAAAAATTAGGAAGATTGGTGCAAGTGAAGGCCTATTTCTATTGAAGCCATTTAGAAAGGGGAGCAGAACAATATAGTGAAATAAATGGAGATTTCATGCTGAACTTTACAACAGTATCAGGTTGCAGCAAGAGTTAAAAGTACTTTTTCTGGAGATTGTTGGCACAGCATCAGATTTTGAATACAAAATGCTAAAGAGGATGGAAAAACTTAAGTGTCTTGATATTTTAGGATGTATTACTACATGCACTTCAGCCTCTTCCTCACAGGTTTGGCTCATTTTTCTGAAGCTTTAAATAGCTAAAAAATGGCTTTCCTATGTTGCCCTGATATTCTATTATATTCTGTTCTTTCTTTCTGGCACGTATTATATAGTGTAATGACATCACATCCATTAAATCTGTCTCTCTTGCTTTCAGATACTTGTTTAAGGTTAACTGAGGCACACGGGTTCTATTTCATGTGTTTGATGCTATTGAAACTGCAGAGCTCTAATTCATAATACCTTTAAAACAATGAAAGAATAACCTGTAAATGGGTCACTGAAGTTGATACAGCGCTTCTGCACTAACAATACTGTATATTTTATATGATCAAAACACTTTTCATTTCCTGAACTCTTCATATTGCCAGGGGATATAATCCATACTTTGTTTTCTTTTTTATTAGGGCTGATAATTTGATAATAGGTATATTAAATTTAATATTAATACCCTCTTAAGTACCTGAGAAGTGACACCTCCAGTACTTCTCATCATTAATCTTTTGTCAAGCAGTAGTTGAACTGGGATAAACATTACATACATGTATATGTATTTATACATACATATATGTACATACATAGAATGATAATCCCAGAAATACTCCAGTATTATAAGACTGATTAAATCAAACATTAAGTGCCTTTTTTCCTATATCTCTATATATGGAGTAACCAAAATTTGAAAATTGCAACATTGTCTCTCTAACAAGTCCACAGAGAATAAATCAGCTCTTGAATAATAAATTTTTAATTATGCTATTATACATATTAGACGTAATTTGAAAGTGGCAGATGAAGATCATATAATTTATGATCTTCAGACAGGTAAATGTACTGTGTAAACAGTGAGATTGAGATGGTTCCTTTCCAAACTGTTTTCTTGGAATTTTTTGTACTTGCCTCTTAGACATGATACTCTCCCAGACCAAAGCTTTTCTTGTGAATGGAAGGAAAACAGAGGTAATAAATTTTGACATCTGGAGATGCAATGCAGTGTTGTCTTTTCATATTGTTCCAGTTTGGGGTAGGAGCAGGGCAAGAAAATGAGGTATTTGTGAATTTTTGATTAATTTTTTCTCCTTTTTTTTTCCCCCAGATGCTATCAAGAAAGTAGATTTCTTCCAATATTTTACACAATAACACTTTTTTCAAATTAATTTTCATTATAATTGTATTATCATCCATTTAAATTTGATTTCTTACTGAAACATAGACCTAAAATATAGTTATATAATAAATAACCAGCCTTTTTTTCTGCATGCTTTAACCCTGATTTTAATTTTATTTTTTTTCCCTCCATTTTACTGGTTAAATAAAAATAATAGCCTGCACAGTGGGAATGAAATTGACATTAAAAATACTACCTATTTTAAAAGCATTTAAAATCCTTCAAAACCATAGAAAAAAAACATAATTTAATGAAAAATATACAAGTTATTGTTGTGGGTTTTCATTCCCAGACAACATTTTTCTTCAGAAATGGGCATGAATCATGGTAAGTTTTTTAATAGTAGTAATCAGAAGGCTTTGCAACTGAAACCAGTCAAATTACGGCTTCTAAATGTAGACTTTTTTTTTGTTAAATGTTTAGTATAGCCATTCGGGGAAACATAATGTTGTTTGCTGCTAACTAGCACAGATTGAAAGTATTTTTCAGTCTCGATGTTGAGTTGTCTGAGAACCTCTGTTTATATTGCATTCTATTTATGCAAGAAAATGAACTTCATTTTGAAGCTAGTATCTTTGAAATAGAGGCTAATTTGCACTGCATGGATTCTGTCTGCAATATCAGCTAAGTTTGCAGAGAAAACTAGTGGCAAAACCAGCAATATTCAAACAATTTCAACATAACCTTATTTTTATTCTATACCTGTAGAAGTCTATGGATTAGAGGTGTGACAATTTACTTAAACGTTACACCAGTGTAGGTCCTAATAGCTCTTAGTGTAATTTTATATGTTAAATTTCTAAATCAAGTGACCAACATGTTTTTTTTTCAGAAACATTTGTGACTGCTTGCTGCTGTTTAATTTCTGCTAAGAGTTATGACACAAGACTCAAGAAGTTGGTCCTAAAATGCTATTGCAAAAATCTTTCTCTGGTAAACCTCCTGAGAGATTGAACTCCTCTCAGTCCTAGTGAATGAGATTTGCTTTGTGATTCTTGAAACAAACCCTAGGTTGAAGACAAGCTTATGAAGGTATTGGCTGATCTAGTGTGACCTTGTATTTGTCTGAACAGTGTTTTTGTTGAGGAGCACAAACTCCACCAGCCTGGGAATGACTATGTCCTACAGAAAAGCAGACTTACACGCTTTGGAGTACAGGTATCAACATCAGGTTTGCATCTGCCTATCTATACTGACAATGTCATATAAATTTGCTGAATGGTTTAAAGGTAGAATTTCTGAATGGAAAAGTGAAATCTAAAATAAGTTCTTGTACTTCAGGGGTGCATAGTGACATCATTATTTTCATTATTTTACAGAAAGGATTTACTTTCTGTTTACACGGAACATTCTTTCTCATAACACTACAGTATTACACAATGGAAACTGCTCTTTCTTGCATTTTTCACAGATTTGCAATGGATTTAAGTACAGTGGTATATTAAATAGATATGAGAGACAGGCTTAGGCAATACCCAGAAAGTTTAACTCCTATTAGCATTCTCCTTGGCACAGCTTTCAACTAGATAATCTAATATTTTCCCAGACCATTGTCAGAGTGGTTTGGGAGATAGTTGGACTGAAGACGGATCTAGTAAACAGTTTGTATAATAGTTGTGGAAGAGAAAATAGTTTAGCTATATTAAGTAATTTGTTGAGCTTATGAATGAATAAGGCTTTAAACCTGAGTCTTCTAAATCTTTGAAAAATATCCTATCTGTGGGCTATTCTTTCTTTTGCTTGTGATTGCTCCATACAGGATGTCCTCTGTGTTTTTATAGTTCTAAATATTCTGTCATTTACTTTTGAAATTAATCAAGTTTCTGAATAACCATATCTTAGTCAATGCATGTGTAGGGTTTTGTCTGAACAGCATTAAACAGGATTCAATGAAGAGCCTGTGAAATCCTTGGGACATGTTTTTTTTCTTATTTTTATGCTTTCACTTAATTGGGTAGATTTTCTAACAATTTCAGCTCATCCCCAAGAATACAGGTGCTCTCTAAGCCTGAAAATACGTTCCCCACGATTCACTCTTGCTCTTGAGTATTTCCGATGCAACCAGATTGAAATGTGCTTCTGATATTCTGAGTGTCCTGGCTTCCTAACATTTTTTAAAGGGTCATTCACTTTACTGAGAGTTTTCTACTGAATGAAAAATTCACTGTATCTGATTTTTGCATTCTCACATGCTAAAAGCAGAGTGAAGTACAAAATTATCTTCTTTGAACTTAAAAATTACCATGACAAGATTGAATTACAGACATGGTGAAGAGATGCATCTCATCCAAATGAAGCATGTTAATACTAATATGCCAACAAGAAGCCAAGAAGATTTCCAGAAATCGTCAGCATCTAAGTCTTGATGATTTTCAAGACGTGGTTATCTCCTGTCTAGTGTTATAATGACAAAATATTTTTAACAGTTGATATCTCCTCCCTTAATGAGGGCAGGTAGATTAGCTCATTTGGAAATCTAGTTCACTACATACTGCAAAGAGAATAGGAGATCAGATGTTTTTAAATGCAGGTGTATTTGTTAGAACCCTGGAATAGCACAAACCTCTTTAATTTGTGTATATTTCAAACCTCTGTTTTGCAGAAAGATTGTAGTGCTCTCAAAAGGCCCAGTATTCCATCCAAAACTACAGGTGAAAAACCATTATTCCAATTAGCTATCATCAGTGGTCTCATTTGTCACCAATTATTTAATGTCATAAATCTGTGAAGATTTTACAAGTAAAGCTCATGCAGCTTTGAAATTTGTTGGTTTTTTTTTTTTTAATCTGATTATTCACAGCTTGCTAATTTGTAATTGGACTTTTACAACTCAAAAACCTCCAGATTTCAGAAAATCTAATTTATCTTTTCTTGGTTTAATTGTGGTATTCACACTCAAAACTGTGGAGTGAGATTGCTTCTAGTGAGTTGTATGCAGTGTTCTGGAACTAATAAAATATATTATTGATTGCTTAATGAAAAGCACCATGTTCATACAAATTTACTGTGGCTGAGGGTAGATACAACAGCTACTTCTTATTCTGTTTGGAGGATCACCTGCCATTTTACTTGGGTGTATTTCTGCATATCAAGTGTGCTTTTAAATTAAGTTATGGTTGCCTACAGGGCACTATATTGGGTGGCTCCATTAAGGTGCCCTTATACTTTTCCTTCCATGCAGTGCTACCCGTTGCTTTTAATTTAGCTTAAGATCATCAAAATTAATTATGATAGAGTGTATTAAAAGTTGAAATAGCAAATCAAGGAGTTTTATTAAGTGCCCTTTAGATTTCCTTGTGTTTTAGTGGTTTTAGCTTTTTATTTGCTCATCACAGTCTGATTCATCGTGATTACTATGAAAAAGATCAGTAAAGATGAACAGAAATGTCTGATGATGGCTGGAATAACTACAACTCTCATTTCCTAGCTGGTTTGATATCCTTACTAGCCAAAATAAATGTATAACTTCTAGTAGTGCTGGTGACTGCTTGTAGATGCCCTTCCCCTGTTGAGATGTTTGGTCTGTGGACTTAGCAGCAAAGCAGTGGCTGTATTTTAGGCATATGAAAATGCTGCTGGTCCCCCTACATCATCCTAATGGCAAAAATTCCAGTGTCAGTGGCAAATACCAGCAACTATCTGTGGTAAGTCTTGTGGTGGGGAATGGTCTCCCCCACTAGCTGCTGGACATGGTGCAGCATGCCTGCTGCACTGAGTGCTCAGGCAGGATTTATTGTAGTTTTTTGATGCACAGTTGCTGTGGACAGGTGAACACCTATCCAGTGGTCCCCTGGGGTGAGTTTGTTTCTGTACTGTGTTGGAAGCTGGGGCATAGACCTTGTGAGGTTCCTCTAGACACAAGTTCCTCCTGGGATCCTGATCTACTTGGTACCAAAGAGAAAAATTTATTCTGTCATTCTAATTCACACCTAATAAACCTTTGTCTTCCTGTAAAAGCAACTTTCTTCACACAAATGCTTGATGTTGTTCAGTCCTCTACATCTGCTGCATCTCTATTAGTGTCTTACCACCTGGCTGCTCAAGCTGGAATAAGTCAGGGTGGGATGCACCTGCAATTGGAGAATAAAGCCTGGCATTCATTAGTGACATTGCATATACAAAGCTCCCCACATAATAGATTGTAATATCCATGGTGAATTCCAGACCTAATGACATAATTAACAATATGACCTCAGGCAGATAAGCCATCTACAAAACTCAACCTGGAAACAATCCTGCATGTGGTTCAGCAAACTATCGTGTATTCATTTTTCTCATGTTGTAAAGCCATAGATTTTTTAAGTGAAAAGACATTATAGCCATCTATGATCATCTTCAGCTTTAACATATCTATTCCCATTACATTACCATAGGTAATACATTCAAAACATGTACAATACCCACTGATATGTAGATGGACATACTCTTTTTAACCACAGCCTCCTTTCAGAGGTTTGATAGTTTAATGACCAACAGAATAACCCAATACCCGTACTTCAACCAACCCACTGAAATAAAGTACATAACAATGTCTGCCAAACACGGTGGTACTCAAACACGTGTCTTAAATAGACTTGGGTCAAATTAGCATCTCATTTCTAGATGTATTTGTTACCATATTGCCACTGTGGGTTATCTATACCAGGTTACCTATGAGTGGTACTCCTCAGGGGAAATCACCACTGTATATAAGATCCCATCTGCACTAGCTTCAAAACCATTAATTCCCTCTCAATTCATAGCACAACTTGGTCCTTTGTATCTCTGGCTCATATATCAAGGCCAACATACTACAAATCAAAGAATGTAATATATTAACTTATTAAATCAACCACAATTATTTTGAGGTAAAAGAGGGCAACAAAAATAATTTCATGTGACTGATACAATTCTGGGTAGTTGTAATATCTTTTTTTGCAAAATTTAGTTCTCCTCACTGTTTCAAATCCTCCCTTTTTTCCAGTCAAATTTTGTTTGGATTCACTTTTGATCATGTTATAGCTTTTCCTGTCAGATGAAACTTCTACTGATTATCAGAAATATTATTTTACTTATCATGAGCATGTTGTCCCCAGGTCATTTGTCAAAGCAACATAATATGCTGTGTTTTTTCTGTCTTTCACACAGTGAGGTATATTTTGAAGATTGCATCATTACATCCTTCCAGAACCCTTTCCAATTCCTTGGAATACTTTTAGAATCACAGATATTAATTCTGGACACAACATTCCAGCAATGGTGCCATTAATGCTGCCTTACCACTTTTATTGTGTTCCCTTTCTTGCAAATCAATTAAAGATCATGTTAGCTCACTGAAGGAAATCAGGTTCAACTGCTCATCTACCATTATAGTCATTTGTTATCAATCTGGAGACAGAATCGTTGCTCTTTACAATAACTTTTCTCATCTTACAAATAGTCCTTGTTTCTAGATAGAAGTCCTTGCACTTGGCTGCAATAAAACCTATGTTTAGATCTGAACTGACCTCTGCAAACGGTCCAAGTCACTCTGTACAACTGACCTGTTCTCTCTATTATTTACCATTCCACCAATAGGTCATATCCAGTTCCCTGATTAATTGAAAGTAAAAGGAAATAGATTTTTTTCTGTATAAATTAGTTTAATGCATGAGGCCATGACCCAAAGCCCATTAGACTCACTGAAAGAATTTCTATTGAATTTGGGTAACTTTAGGTTCTGAGTAGTTGTAGTTTTGCTGTTTTAGAAATTTTTCTGATTCCAGGATAGAGTAGAATATATTATAGCCTTTCCTGACAGCTACAGAATTGATTTTTCTTAGTTTGGTCTTTATTAGGTTGGGGTTTATTATTATTATTATAATTTTAGTTTAGTTTAGTTTAGTTTCCCAGCAAATAAAAGCTGAACAATCCAGGCAGGATGGCACCAAAATCTGGCTTCAGAGCCCACACAGGAGTTAAAAATAATTTGCAGTAGCTTAAGGAACTAATAGTATATGTATCCAGTTTCTAGAATTATCCATATGCATGGTCTTAATAAATTCTGTATTTTCTTCAAGCATAAATATGTTTCTTCAATTATTTTTATTCAATGACACTAGATTTGCTTGATTTGATAATCCTGAGTCAAAATTCAGGCAAGTTGTCAATGTTCTGGGAAAGTGAAAAATTTCATATTTTCATTCAAATATG